ATTAAGATAAAGATTTAATATTTAAACTTGATTCAATCTTTACTCAATATTTGTTTTAATATTTCATCAGAGGTGACAATAAGTTACATATATTTTGTAAATAGATATTAATTATATGAAAAAATATATGAAGGAAATGTATGTTAATACATATTTTATGGACAATTAAAATATAATTTATATCCAGTTATATGATGACTGACAATTTAATTTACTTTAATTATCAACTAAAAATTGTGGAATATCAACTCTTGAAGGATTATTTGAAATACAAATCAATTTTGAAATTGTTTATTAAAGAATTCAAAATAATGATGAAATTCCTTAGAATAAGAGAATAACATAATTAATATCTAATAATGTATAATTTTTGATTATAAAAATAATCATTTATAAGGAGATTACAACTAAACAATGTTCTTTTGAAACTTATCTTTTTTGAAAGCAAATTTCAAAATTTGAGTTATAAATGAACCTTCCATATGTTTGTTTGAAATAGATTGATTTTCAATACTATTCATGCCCTTCTAGAGTTTGGCTTAGAAAAATAATAAATAATACTCTTATTTGATGACCAACCTTTGATATCTCCCAGCCTATTAATAAGTATATAAAAAATATTGAAAACTGTATTAAAATTTGAACTCATATTTAATGATATATATATTTCATCATTATTTCTATCAAGACTACAATTTTTGCAAAACCATTCTTATTTATGATTAATATTTTATAGTTTAATGGTTCTATCACAACTACTTGAAAAGAAAAATTTTTTCGTTTTAGTTTGAATATTAAGCAAGTAATTTATTAATTGTAATATAAATAGGAAAATATATATATAAAACCTTAAATACTCTTATTAGAAAATTATAGAAACAACATCTCTTGACAAAAAAGGATGGCAATTCTAAAAGATGAAAGAAAAATTCTCATCTAACATCATTATTTATTCAAAAAATGGATTGATTCAGCAATATTAATTAAGAGTGATATTTAGAATTATGAATTAATATCATAATCATAAACTTAATTCTTTTTTTTGTTTAATATTTATAATAATAATATGGGGTCAATTAAAGGATTTTGTTGAACTTGATACTTTGACACCATAATTATTTTAGCATCTGATCATATATTTTGCTTTAGCTAATAAGTATTTTTTCAATTTTAGATATCTCATTTATACTCTTTATTTTTAAACACTTCTATTTTACAATATTTTTTTAAAGATTTTATATTTTTATATCCATGGTACCATGATTAGAATTTTATCTTTAATGTTATCTATCAAAAGGGAATTTTCTTCGACAAAAGAAGTTACTATTTCTTTAAAAATTTTCATTAAATATTGAAAATTAAGAATAATGAGAATAATTAAACAAGGTATTTATATTTCATAGCTTTCACTTTGTTAATCAATATAAATCCCTATTCCAACAGCTATTGATATACCACATACTTTTGCTGAATATGCATCTAATTTATTTAAAATGAATGATTTATAAGGCCGATATTTTAAACTAAGCACTTAATAAATATACACTAATGACAGCAAAAGGATTCCTTTCTTTACAACATTCTCTTCATAATATGAAAGGAAAATTATAAGTAATTCTTTGAAAATTATTTTAATAATCTCCCAATAATAAGCTTCAAGTACATATTCATTATATAAATATCCCCATTTGTATCTTGTGCTTTTTTTATTTAATGTATTTTAATTGATATACAATGAAATAAAGAAATATAATGGAATAATTAATGCAATAAGGCTTAAAATAGGTATGCAAAATTATAATAGCCATTAATAATGTATTTGGGTGTCATATCTGTAAGAAACATTAGCTTAAATCCAAAGAAATCCTGAGATTTACCGATATGAGATAAGTGAAATCAATGCTCCAACCAAATATGGTTAGAGATAGATGTACATATATATTAGAGTTGTAGTTATTACATTCAAATTAAATTTAAGCGTTAATATTATTAAAGCAAAGCTGTAGACACATAAAAATATGCATATGTACATGAAGGGCATAATAATTTGCCATAAAATTATTGAATAATGAATTTCGAAATCAAATATATCCTTTAAAAAACAATCAAGAGAATGTGTCATTGTTTGTATTGGATTACTTATAGCGTTAATGACATTACCAATACTAATTAATGAGGAGAATTTAAAAGTAAAAACAACTGAGAGTATTTAAAGGTGATTAGTAATCATTTTTATTAAAATTCCAAAATTAGAGTGATATTAAATTCTCGAAGAAATTAATCTAGAAATTACTCTTTTCAACATCATTTGTTCATTTAATGAAATATTACTCCTAACTGTGATTAAAATCGATATTAAAGTCCTTAAGATAATTAACATATATACCATAAGCTAATGCCTGTAATAACAATTATATTTTTACTTTATTCAACACATGAGCCACATGAATACTTGGTACTTGTAGAATAATGTCCAAAACCTCTTAAGTTATATATGTCACATTCTTCACATAATGCTCCAATATGACCTTAAAAACAAGATGTATCACCTTCACTCCATCCGCCATTGCAATTATAAAGTAAATTGATACATTAGCTAATATCATCAGTATCGAAATAAGGTCTCCAAAACCCATGCTTTAATTTTAATTAAGCTGATTTAATTTCGCTTGTAGTAACATCATCTTTCTAAGAACAAGTATTTGAATTTAGAACTAAGGAATACAGACCTTAAGTAGCATTACAAAGAACACAAGTATTATCAAAAAGACTTTTTATTTCTCCTAATTAGCAGGGTAGTGATTTAATGTTCATTCTTAAAAAATAGTTATTATGATATCCTAATATTTCTTGATCATTACCATAAATAGGAGTGAATATTGAATTGCAATGAAATTAAATTTATAAAGACATATTTAATTGATCATCTAAGAAAAAAGTGATATTATCAAAATTGTAATCAGACTTACTGAATAATACTGAATTAATGTTAGTAAAGTTTTGAGTGAAATTTTAATCTTCATTTTCGATTAGTAACCGACCGCTTATTAAACATTCAGTATTATTTAAATTTTCTTAGACATTGTTGTAAGCATCTAAAGGTATTAATCTGAGATGCAAATTATATCCTATATAAACTTAATTCCTCCAATCAAAATATTAGTATTGAGACATAGTTTATCCATTAGGAACATATAATATATTAGAATAATTATTAACAAATAATTAATATTTTCCAATTTAAATTTATTCCACTAAAAGGTTATCCTTCTCTATTATTTTAATTTTAGGTAACTAATTTTTTAAATCAATTGAAACTGATAATTAACAAGGAGGCTAAACAAAATTATCACCAAATTGAGCTGCAATATTTTCATGTATTATTGTTTCTTATTAAATTACATTTTAGGAAATCTAATCTTTTAAGAACAATCCTCCACCAAATATAGCTTTATTATATTAGATGACAGAGTTCAAAATAAAAAAACTTTTATGGCCAATAACATAAATAGATCCACCTTATTATTCTGCTGTATTATTTTGTAAAATAGAATCTTCTATTAATATTTTGATATCCTAAATTTAGAGACATGTACCTTTGTTTGCAAAGTTTCTAATGCATTAAAATTTTTGTAATTTAACATCATATTGTTTTTCATTGATGATGTAAATTAAAGACTGCAAAATTCTGTAGGTTGAAAAAGATTTTACTATATTTAAGCAACTTTATTTTCCACAATAATTATCATAAAAATTCACTGAATTCATTACGAACATACTTAGATTATCATAAATGTTAACATTTACCAGCCCTTTTTAACAAATTGTACAATTAATATTTCTTAATTGCAATTTTGAAATATGTATTTATGAATTTTAAGGAAAAATATCTAATAGACTAGATATCTATTTTTTTTATTGTAAATTCATTTGATAAATTATACAATATGCATTCCTAACACTATCCTAATTTTTAAAATACTTCAAATCAATAGGGGATTCTTTTAAACTATTATCATAAGAGCAAATCTATTTTATTTAATCAAAAGCTTAATTCTGAATACATTTTTCTAGAATAGGGATTTAATGTTATATCTCTGCATTGATAACTTAAAAATCTACTAACCNCCTTAAAATAATGAAAATATATACCATAAGCTAATGCCTGTGATAACAAAAATATTTTTACTCTATTCAACACATGAGCCACATGAATACTTGGTACTTGTTGAAAAATGTCCGAAACCTCTTATGTTATATATGTCACATTCTTCGCATAATGCTCCAATATGACCTTAAAAACAAGATGTATCGCCTTCACTCCATCCGCCATTGCAATTATAAAGTAAATTGATACATTGGCTAATTTCATCAGTATCAAAATAAGGTCTCCAAAAACCATGCTTTAATTTTAACTAAGCTGATTTAATTTCACTTGTAGTAACATCATCTTTTTAAGAACAAGTATTTGAATTCAGAACTAAGGAATACAAACCTTAAGTAGCATTACAAAGTACACAAGTATAATCAAAAAGACTTTTTATTTCTCCTAATTAACAAGGTAGCGATTTAATGTTCATTCTTAAAAAATAGTTATTATGATAACCTAATATTTCTTGAGCTTTACCATAAATAGGAGTGAAAATTGAATTGCAATGAAATTAAATTTATAGAGTCATATTTAATTAATCATCTAAGAAAAAAGTGATATTATCAAAGTTGTAATCAGACTTACTAAATAAAACTGAATTAAAGTTAGTAAAGTTTTCAGTGAAATTTTCAGTCAAATTTTAATCTTCATTTTCGATTAGTAACCGACCGCTTATTAAACATTCAGTATTTTCTAAATTTTCTTAGACATTGTTGTAAGCATCTAAAGGTATTAATCTGAGATGCAAATTATAGCCAATATAAATTTAATTTCTCCAATCAAAATATTAGTATTTAGACATAGTTTATCCATTAGGAACATATAAAATATTAGAATAGTTATGAGAAAATAATTAATATTTTCCAATTTAAATTTCTTCAACCAAAAGATTATCTTTCTCTATTATTTTAATTTTAGGTAACTTATTTTTTAAATCAATTGAGACTGATAATTAAGAAGGTGGCTAAACAAAATTATCACCAAATTGAGCTGCAATATTCTCATTTATTATTGTTTCTTATTAAATTAGATTTTAGAAAATCTAATCTTTTAAGAACAATCCTCCACCAAATAGAGCTTTATTATATTAGATGACAGAGTTTATAATAAACAAACTTTAATGGCCAATAACATAAATAGATCCACCTTATTATTCTGCTGTATTATTTTGTAAAATAGAATCTTCTATTAAAATTTTGGCATCTTAAATTTAGAGACATGTACCTTTATTTGCAAAATTTCTAATACATTAAAATTTTTGTAATCTAACATCATATTATTTTTTATTGATAATGTAAATTAAAGACTACAAAATTCTATATGTTGAAATAGATTTTACTATATTTAAGCAACTTTATTTTCCACAATAATTATCATAAAAACTAACTGAATTCATTACTAAAATACTTTGATTATCATAAATGTTAACATTTACCAACCCTTTTTAACAAATTGTACAATTAATATTTCTTAATTGCAATCCAGAAATATATATTTATGAATTTTAAGGAAAAATATCTAATAGACTAGAAGTCTATTTTTTTAATTGTAAATTCATTTGATTAATTATACAATGTGCATTGCTAATAATATCCTAATTTAAAAAATGCTTCAAATTATTAGGGGATTCTTTTAAACTATTATCATTAGAGCAAACCTATTTTATTTAATTAAAAGCTTAATTCTGAATACATTTTTCTAGAATAGGGATTTAATGTTATATCTCTGCGTTGATTACTTAAAAATCTACTAACCTTAATTTAGATTAGTTATTCATTGAATTTACTATAAGTAATGAATTCAAAAAGGTTGAATTTGAGATTATTGAATTTGAGATTTCTAAGTTTGATGTTTGGGATATAATTGCTAGTGATTCATAATTTAATGAAAACAGAATAATGTTTTTTATACTAATCAACTTGGCATAAGCTAATTCAAATAAACTTCTTTCAAATTATTATTATATTAGTGATTTACTATTCGTTATACTAAATCTGTTAAGAAATCTTAAATATCCTTAAATTGAGTTTGTCATCTCCAAATGATTAAGCATAAATTGTTATGACAATTTTGTGGATGCAGAAAATTCACAAAATAGGATGGATCCTTTCAATGAATACACATCTGTTAAGGTAATATCTTGTAAATTTATAATAATTTTTCCTAATCCACTTTATATATAAATTAGACCTCCTCGATTCTGACAAAATATATCTTAAGCATTAATATTTTAAAAGTATATATTTGTAGAAGATGAAATTGATGTATCAATTAGAAAGGCTCCTCCATCTTAGTTATCATCCTAAAATATAGTACTTAAACTACTAATATTTGTATCATAAATTTTTAATGAAGCTTCTTTTTCTAGAATTATATGTAATCCAGAACCAGTAGAATTAGATATTGAAACATTCCTTATAACTATTTCTTAGCAAACAATTTTCCCATTTCCAGTTAAGACTTTTATTGGAAATATTTCTTTAATTTGTTCAATAAATATTTCCTGTTCTTCTTGGAAACCCCAATATAGATAAGGTTATAAGAGCAAATAATCAAATTAGTTATTTTAAACAAAAATGGAATTCTAAATTGATAAATATTTTGCCTAAATGTTAAAAATACTATTTAAAGTGTTTGTAGCAATATTTTATTTAAAATTTAGATCGATTAAAAGTATGGTACAATGCTAACAATCAAAATTAAATAAAAGGCCTGAATTACTTAAATCCATTTATATATATTGATGCATAACGTTTTTTTCAAAATTTGAATTCTTAATTTCTATTTGATAATCTTCTGCAGATGATATTTACAATATTGATGCTTATTTAATTTTATTTGTTATCAAAAGTAAATTTTCTTTGAAAAGCAATTCTGAAAGCTGAATGATATTTGTCGTTTTAGTTTTTAAGATAGAAGTTTTAATATCAATTATAGGGTAATTAATTGATTCGGCCTTTTAAATTATTAAATTTGTGATTTCAATAATAGGTACATCATAAATACTAATGGAAAGATAATAGTATTCGTTAATAATAGATTATTCTAAACAATCAAATTATTCATGAATTCCTTTAAATTTAAAATTTTCGTGTTGTTAAATCTCAATTTAATTTAATATTAATTTATTAGAATTTATAATAACTATATCTTGAATTCCATAAGCTTTTTGAATGATTAACTGATCAATTTTAATTGAAATTACGTCTAAATATATTAAACTCATTTCTAAATTATCAAAAACTGTTTGTAGTGGTTATTACATGAATTTGTTAGCAACTATTGATAGCTTGTTTATTATTAATTCTCTATTAGGTATTATATTTTAAGTAAATTTTATAAATCTTGCATTTTCATGATATTTATTTAAATAGAATCCAAGGTTCCCAATATAGATATAAAAAATTTCAACTTTATCATTAACAATTAACTATGCACCATCTTTAAACTAATTTAAGCTAAAGTTTAAATTCATCAAATCTGAATAATTATTAATAGCGATTATTTTACCATAGTGTACTGTATTTGAAATAAATTCTAATGAATCAAAATTGAAGTATTATAAATTTTTAATTAAAAACAAGCCATTATTAGAATAAAAATCAGAATAACTAATCTTCATTTAGAAAATTCTCAATTCACCATTAGTTTAGTTTATAAATCCCATATTAAAAAGTGATGTCTCAATATATATATAATTCAATTCTACTAAATCATCTTTTTTGAGATCAAACCAAAAAAAATGTAAATCCCAAAATTAACTATAAATAACATTGAAATTCTCTATTTTTACAGTTTACTTTGATTGTATTTTTTCTATTTTAATAAAATACTCAATATAAAATTATCTGGAGCAATCTTAGACAATAAAGTTTGAAATATAAACATTTTTTGCATTTTGCATAATAGTTTAAAAAGTAATTCTGGGANAATTCTAAATTGATAAATATTTTGCCTAAATGTAAAAAATACTATTGAAAGTGTTTATAGCAATATTTTGTGTAAAATTTAGATCGATTAAAAGTATGGTACAATGCTAACAATCAAAATTAAATAAAAGGCCTGAATTACTTAAATCGATTTAAATATATTGATGCATAATGTTTTTTTCAAAATTTGAATTCTTAATTTCTATTTAATAATCTTCTGCAGATGATATTTAAAATAGGGATGCTTATTTAATTTTATTTGTTATCAAAATTAGATTTTCCTTAAAATGCAATTCTGAAAGCTGAATGATATTTTTCGTTTTAGTCTTTAAAATAGAAGTTTTAATATCAATTATAGGGTAATTAATTGATTCAGCCTTTTAAATTATTAAATTTGTGATTTCAATTATAGGCACATCATAAATACTGATTGAAAGATAATAGTATTCATTAATAATAGATTATTCTAAACACTCAAATAATTCATGAATTCCTTTAAATTTAAAATTTTCATGTTGTTAAATTTCTATTTACTTTAATATTAATTTTTCAGAATTTATAATAACTATATCTTGAATCCCATAAGCTTTTTGAATGATCAAATGATCAATTTTAACTGAAATTACATCTAAATAAATTAAACTCATTTCTAAAATATCAAAAACTGTTTGTAACGGTTGTTAAATAAATTTGTTTGCAACTATTGATAGCTGGTTTATTATTAATTCCCTATTAGGTATTATATTTTAAGTAAATTTTATAAATCTTGCATTTTCATGATATTTATTTAAATAGAATCCAAGGTTCCCAATATAGATATAAAAAATTTCAACTTTATCATTAACAATTAACTATGCACCATCTTTAAACTAATTTAAGCTAAAGTTTAAATTCATCAAATCTGAATAATTATTAATAGCGATTATTTTACCATAGTGTACTGTATTTGAAATAAATTCTAATGAATCAAAATTGAAGTATTATAAATTTTTAATTAAAAACAAGCCATTATTAGAATAAAAATCAGAATAACTAATCTTCATTTAGAAAATTCTCAATTCACCATTAGTTTAGTTTATAAATCCCATATTAAAAAGTGATGTCTCAATATATATATAATTCAATTCTACTAAATCATCTTTTTTGAGATCAAACCAAAAAAAATGTAAATCCCAAAATTAACTATAAATAACATTGAAATTCTCTATTTTTACAGTTTACTTTGATTGTATTTGTTCTATTTTAATAAAATACTCAATATAAAATTATCTAGCGCAATTTTTCACAATAAAGTTTGAAATATAAACATTTTTTGTATTTTGAAAAATAGTTTAAAAAGTAATTCTGGGATCATCTTACCAAAATAGAATATTAATTAATTCAATGGTTTGCTCAAATGCACTTTTAAACTTTAGTATATTTGGACCATATGTGAAAAAATCAATATCAATTTCAATTCCTTCGATGTGCACTCTTTTAAAATTAGCAAATACTAATTATTGTTAAAATTAAAAAGTTGTAAATTCATTTCCAAAAATTTCAAGTTCAACCTATCTAATTTAGTTTAATAACAATTATTACATTGCTGTGAAAATATTGGAACTAAAATTCTAAGAAATCTATTATTTATCAAGAACTGAGCATGTTTAATGTTGATAACTAGTAATTTTTATCAAAATTTATTTAATTGATTTCTAATTAGCTAATAAGTAAAATTCTTAAGTCTCAAACTAAATTAATATATATTATTGTTACTTAAGCAAAACTTGATGAAGAAAATAATTGATCACTCAAAATATTTGATTGTTAAAATGATTTTTTTTCTTCCTCTGTTTCTAATGAATTTAATTATTGATAGTATTCTTCATTATTACAAATTAAATTTAAGTTTAAAACAATTGATTTAATGCATGGACCAAATTCGCAATCAGCATAAATTCCTAATTCCTAATCAAAATAGCCAGTGGATCCAGCTATACAATAAAATGAGTAATTAAAAAATTCTTGGTTTATAAAAAGTGGATTAATAGATTGTACATCTTGTTTATCTCTTTCATAACATGAATTACAATTATTTGGACAAGAAATACATTGGTTATTTATCAAAGTTCTATTTCTAATTTTTAATCCTTAAGGACATTTTACACAAATATTTTTATTATTTTACAATATACATTTTAAACATGATTCTGGACAAATTTCAATACATTGATTTTCATGCAGTTCATATCCTTCTTAGCATATTGTACAAAGGATTTCATAATCAAGATCATTTTGACTTATTCCATATTCAGTAAATTTATGCGTAAAAAATTCTAAATCTACAAATACTCTATAAAATGCTCGAATTTCATTTTTCCAATTATCTTTAGAAATTTTGTTTTACTAAAAACAACTTAAACAATGTAAATCTTATGGGCATAATAGACATTATCCTGTTTTCTTTTCAGCATAATAACCATTTTGACAAACAAGACAAGAATAGGAAACTGTTTTTGGAACTCTTTCAAAACCCACAAAGTATGATGTTAATTATTCTACCACACAGTATAAACAGTGTAATTTCAATCTTGGACATTCATCAGTAAATGAATATATCATAACGTTTGAATTATAAGGACCATATAAGCAATTAATCTAATTGTACAATCCTAATTTCGAGATATAAACTTAATTACACTTTTACTATTCTCCCTAATTACAGAGTAGATTTTATTCATCAAAATAATAGCCATCTGCACACTTTGCACACATAGTTATTGTCAAATAGTAATAAGGTTAAAACATATAATCTAATGAATTTATAAGAGTATCTGATTCAGCACTTTCAAATGCAATTAAGCAATTTTTTATTTCATTAATTCTACAGTCTTAAGAATTCAAGGATATATAATAAAAATAATTATCTAAACAGCTTAAGCAAATCATAATTTCTAATTCATTAGAATATTAGCAAACTTTACAAAAATTCCCGCATTTTAAGCATTAATTATTTACCAATCCGAAACCTGTGTCACAAGATAAGCATTCAGTTAAACTAAGACAATTTGGACAAGAACTTGGACATAGAATGCAAGAATTACTTTCATCTGATAAATAATATCCATTCAAACATTCAGTACATTTTTATGTATTTTAATTTATTTTTTTGCATGCTGCATCTAATAAATTACATTTAAAATTAGAGTAATAACGATTTTCTTTACAAAACCCAAAGGCTGTTTTTGATAAATGATTAACATCTAACTGAAAACAATTTTCAATTTATATTTCTGTTATATCACAATAATCATATACTCCTTCTATTAAATTCAAATTATAACTATCATCAATATTATAAAGATCATAATCTAAAACAGATCTTACTTATTATGTATAAGCATCATCTGTTTATGATAATTGTTAAGTTATGTAATCCTTAGTACAAATAGGTTTAATGTACCAATTTTTAGAATTTAATAAACAATCTATGCAATATAAATTATATAAATTCCATTGAGGACTATATTATTAACAATAATTACCATTATATGCATTATTAATTGGTTGGTAAATAAAAATATCCAAAAGGACAATCAGAATTTGATACATCTAAACTAATTTCACCATAGATTAACGAAGGAAATAGGTCAGAATAAGATTTACATATCTAATTTATTTCTATCTAATCTATTGGACAAACACATTGATGATATTCTTCCAGAAATACTCTTCTACTATCATCGTAACAGGATAAACAATTAGTATGTAATGGACCATAACAAGTTTAACAACTATCATGGCAATCTAAGTATATTTCATAATGATACAATAATCTAGATTTAAATCATTTTAATAATTTGAGATAAATTAAATGTCAGCTAATTATCCTTTCAATTTTTTATAAATAGTATAATCTCCTCCAAATATGGCATAATATTTTGTATTAATAAATAAACTACTATATTAATCGTTTCCCATAAAATAATTATGTGTAATCAAATTTTAATTTTGATAATAGCTTAATCTAAATTATGATTTTGTTTGCTAATTTTATAGTCCATATTCAAATGAAAAAAAATGCCATTTTGCTAATAATTGTTAATAAGGTAAATCTTGTCTCAAAATTATTTTATCATTTGCTGAATCTTATTCTAAATACTTCGGATATGGCATAAAATAATGATGTGATATAACTTCATATCCACAATTATTTTAATTTGATAAATCCAAATTAACTATTATTTTTACTATTTCATCTCCTAAATTTATTTCATCTTTGTAATTTTTAAATATTGTTAGTCGAACTAATAAATACTATGTTAAAGAGTATGCATCATACAAATAATATTTTACCCAACCGGATAAACAGAATTTCCTACCAAACTAATCAAATTCAAATTCTTTTTAAATAACTCCATCAAAATATGCTAGTCCTGGAATTAAATTTATTTTTTTTTCATGTTCATTTAGTCTTAGCCAATATATTGTTCCATCATATATATCCCAAGGGTATCTATAATATTCTTGAATAAAAATCCTGGATAATCTTCCACGAAAAATTCCTAATTCAAATTGATTATTTATCTAGAAATATTGATATATATTACAATTCCAGTTCCTCCAACAAAAAATTCAACTGAATTAGGTTTATATAGAAATAATTATTGATAATTAATATTGAGACTTCCTATTGTTTCGTAAATTAGACGATCATATTCTAAGGTGATAATAGTGATTATCCAAACTCCTTCGTAATTCTTTGGATCGTATTCAATTTCAACATTTTGATCCCCAACAAAAAGTGAATGAATTATATAATTATCCGTTATTACATTCGTATACATCAAAGCTAACACTTGATTATCATCTAAACTTTTCATAAAAAATAGCAACTATTGCTTAGGATTATCAAGGTTTAATTTTTATTCAACTTATGGATAAGATTGAGGGATCTAAAATGTAATATAGAAGCTCCAAAATTCAAAAGAAATCAAATCCCCTATGTCATATCTAACTGTTGATTCTAAAGGATAAGAGCTAGGGATTAGTAGATCTTCATTAAATTAATAGCAAGAGGCTATAGCAATTATTGTGACTAATGAGAATAGTGACTTTTCAATCAATGTATCTTTTAACATAATGAATTTTTATTTTTTATGTATAATTTAATTAAAAAATTTCATCATTAACCAAATATCTAATAATTTTTTTTTTTTAGAAAATGCAGTTTAAACATCTTTAATGTTATGTAATTATTATTTTGACACTGTAATGCCCTTTTTTTCTAA